CCCGACTTTGGTCTGTATGCACCTGGCGTGATTCCGTGCCAAGGTTCATCCTCCTTTCCCGTGCCTTCTTGCTTCTTTTTGCCAGCCTCCCTGTCGCAGCGTCCTCCCTTCCCTTCACTTCGTCCCCCTCTTCCCCCTTCACCCCGATGGGACTGCACTCTGATGCAGGTTTGTCTCCTCCTCGCTCCCTGGCGCTCCGCTCTCCTGCTACCGACGCAGCATTCGGCCGCAGCGGGCCCGCAATGCCCAACACAGTTTGATCAGGCTCATCGTGGGCGATAGTCCGAAAACGGCCGATCTACGATTGTGCATCGACTACCTCAAGCTCAACGCGCAAACCGTCAAGAATGCGGGGCCCCTTCCTCGTATTGACGATCTCCTTGAGCGATTGGGTGGTGCGAAGTACTTTTCTAAGTTGTATCTTAAATCAGGATACCATCAGATTTCGATCGGACCGAACGATCGCTATAAATCCGCGTTCAAGACACGGTACGGGCATTTTGAGTGGGTGGTCATGCCTTTTGGCCTCACCAATGCCCCGACGACCTTTCAAGCGGCAATGACCAACGAGTTTCGTGCGATGTTGGACCGGTTCGTGTTGGTCTACTTAGATGACATTCTCATCTATAGCTAGACATTGGAGGATCATCTTGAGCACCTTCGACGAGTGTTGGAGACGCTCCGCCGCGCCAAGTACAAAGCCAACCGCGACAAGTGCGAATTTGTCCACCACGAGTTGGAATACTTGGGCCATTTTGTCACACTGAAGGGCATCAGTCCGTTGTTGAACAAGATTCGAGCCATCCAAGAGTGGTCAGAGCCGCGGAACGTCACGGATGTCCGTTCGTTCCTTGGCCTTGCCGGCTACTACCAACGTTTTATCAAGGGATACTCGAAGATCGCGGCCCGCTTGACCAAGCGTCAATGCGAGGATCGGCCGTTCGACTTCGGGGAGGATGCGCTGGAATCATTCTTGGCTCTCAAAGCCACATTATTGTCCCCGGAGATCTTGCGAATCTACGACCCGTTATTGCCAACGCGCGTCACTACGGATGCGTCTAGCTACGACATTGGTGTCGTCCACGAACAACACGATGGCGTGGATTGGTACCCGGTCGAGTAGTTCAGCAAGAAAGTGTCCGTCGTGCACTCCATTGATGATGCACGCAAGGAGCTCCTAGCCTTCGTTCACGCGCTTAAGCGGTGGCGGCACTTCCTCCTTGGTCAAAGTCAATTCCGATGGGTAACGGACAACAATCCGTTGGTCTTCTTCAAGACCCAAGACACCGTCAATTTAGCACGATCGCCCGTTGGATGACTTTCATCGGCCAATTCGACTTCTTCCCCAATTGCATTCCGGGGAAGTCTCACAGTTTCGTGGATGCTCTTTCACGGCGTCCGGATCATTGTACCACAGTCTATTTGACCTTCGAGATCGACGACGACCTGCGGGACAGCTTCATCCGCGACTACCAAGCCGACCCCAAGTTTCGCGACAAGTACGCGAATTGCGCCTCTCCTAATCCGGCGCCTTCTCACTATCGGATCCGAGAGGGGTACTCGCTTGTCCACACGCGGGGGAAGGACCTTCTTTGCGTACCGAGTGACTCTCACTTGCATACAAGGCTTCTTGGCGAGTTCCACGATGCTCCCGCCATTGGACACTTTGGAGTCAATCGAACGATTGGCCGACTTCGCAAGCGCTTTTGGTGGCCCGATCTTCTAGGCGACGTCACACGCTATTGCGAGTCATGCGAGGTTTGTCGACGCTGCAAATCCCGCAACCATCTTCCGTACGGCGACTTGCAACCATTACTGGTCCCCTTGCGCCGGAGGGAAGCGATTGCCATGGACATTACCGGGCCGTTCCCCAAGCACAAGACCGGTGTGGATGGGATTCTCACGGTGGTCGAACGACTCACCAAGTTCGCCATGTTTTTGCCTTGCCGCTATCATGCCAAGGCACCGGAGTTGGTCGAGGTTCTTTACACCGGTTGGATTCGAACCAAGGGTTACCCTGAGGAAATCGTCTACGACCGCGACACTCGGTTCATGTCCAGTTTTTGGTTGGCACTCATCAAACGATGGGGCTCATCTCTCAAGCCGAGTTCGGCTCGCCACCCCCAAACCGATGGCCAAACGGAGAGGGCGCATCAGACCGCACAGGTTCTCCTTCACACTCTCATTCGTCCCGACCAAAAGGATTGGGTTGAGCGGCTACCGGATGTCGAGTTAGCATACAACTCGTCCATCCACCCGAGTTCGAGCACAGCTCGCCGGTCACTTCTCCGTTGGACACAATCATTCCGCGAGCGGCCGAGAGCAACAACCATCTTCTTTTCATGCGTCGGATGCAAGAGCTACTTGTCAAGGCACGCGACCATATGGCTAAGACGCAGCAATGCATGAGCCAACTAGCCAATCGCCAGCGTCTTCCTTGTCCATTTCGCACCGGCGACCTCGTTTGGGTTTCCGCAGCGGAGTTCAACCTCGAACAAGATATCTCTCGCAAGCTCCTCCCGAAATGGATGGGGCCCGGGGGATGCACCCGAAGGACCTTCCTTCATCATTCAGGTGCCCGCCCACTTGCCCGTCTACCCGGTCTTTCATTGCTCCAAGTTGGCTCTTTACACGCCAGCGGAACATGACGATTTTCCTAGGCGACGATCGCAAGACCCATCCTCTATGGACGGTTTTCAAGAGGTCGGCAACATCATCTCCCAGCGACGCTACGGCAACAGACCGACCAAATACTTGGTACACTTTGCGTACTGCACTCACAAAGCTTACCATTGGTTGATCCGTACGGAGTTTTTTCAGATATTCTTATTACCAGCAAACCTACAGAAGTAAGGATGGGAAACCGGTGAACCATTCGAATCTCTTTTCGAATGGGGCAGAAGGTACTGCCCAACTGTGAAGTACATCAGCAGATGTTATAATCATACGTAAATGAGTTTTGGCTGGTACAACCACTCGATTATCTACTTCTAATAAACGTAATTGACCCAATTCTAGATCATCCTCTGGAATCATATAACTATCAAAAGTAAGTGATTGTTCATAATTATTTCTTTAGCGTTTATACAAAAATCCATACAATAAGAATAAGATTCTTTTCTTTAAACTCCAAGCAACAGCTCCAGATGTTCTTGTACGCTACGAACGGAAGATGCAAGGCAAGCCGGTATCTTCGGCTCCACACCGCACCCGTGTCCAGGTTCCACCTTCAGATCGTCTGCTTCGCCCTCGACCCGGCTTGACTTCACAAGGAGGGGGGGGTGTTACATGCTGCGCCTGCAACATGCTGTGCCTGCAAACGAGGGCCATTTTCAGGCCCTGGGTCGTTTCAGCCTGAAAGCCTGAAAACAAGGGCCTACAGGCCCTGTGTCGTTTGAACCTAAAAGCCTGAAAACAAGGGCTTATAGGCCCTATGTCGTTTCAGCCTAAAACAGGGCCCTCCAGGCCCCGAGTCTTTCACCCTGAAATGGAGGGCCATTTTCAGGCCCTCATAAGATCGACCTGCCCTGAAACTTAGGCACCAGACCAGGGTTTTAGCACAGGCCATTTTGGGCCTGTTTTCAAGACAATCTTTGTTTGAACTTCAACACCAGGGTCTGGCACATTTTGGCATTGGCAAGAGCAGCCTCCTGGACGGGCCAGCACTATATAAGACTGGCCCGCCCTGCAGGCTGCAGGTAGTTCATAGGGGACTTCCCAGGCACTTAACGTGCAGTTCAAGAGGCAGGAGGTAGTCTTCAGGATTCGGCAGCAGCACTCTGGAGGAGCGCTGCAGTAGTAGTAGTAGCATTAGCAGTAGCCTTCAGCGCTGGGCGCTAGTAGGAGCTAGAGTAGCACTGGAGAGAGAGAGAGAGAGTTGGTGGAGGCCAGGGAGACTTACGTGCAGCGCCATAGCTCCAGCTTCGCCTTCGAGGTACCTGCAGCACGGCGTCATCTTCAGATGTTAGTACCTGGCACATGAGAGAGAGAGAGAGAGAGAGAGAGAGAGAGAGAGAGAGAGAGAGAG